TTGTCTAAAGCGTTGCTATTGTAAAGAAAAAGATACTTGTTTTCAGAAAAGAGGGTCGTTTAACAACCCCAAAAAGTGTTCACCACGCCCATACAAACAAAACAGCCCCTCCAGTTTCCCGCCTGTTACTGATATAACTTTGTACAGATTTTCATTCTGAACAACCAAAACTAATTATGGATGTCAATTCGAATGAAAAATGGAATGTGTTACCTGTAATTTGACATACTAGTCAAATGATCGTCTATTGTCTGGAGACAATGGTTGACGGTGCGGCACAGTCCTCTCCCCTATCGTATTTACCCGCAATAACGTTTTGGTAATAGAACTTAAACAAGAAGATTAACTCCTCAATTGATACAGCTTAGCACATTGATTGTTTGGTGAGAGGGAAGAAAGTCGTTATCTATGTATTTCAATTATTACACAATTCTCACAAACAACGTCTCCGAATGACATCTTTCTGAACTTCACGATCGATCTTGACACACCATCAGATGCTTTTTTAAAAGTGACAAATTAGATTCTTTAATTATATATGTGTGAGAAATTGCGATTGACAGATAATTTTAGTAACCCGTGATTCAGGTTAGCATTTTCATTCAACCCTTTTAGAATCAGATAAGTATTTAAATCTCTAACATAAATTGTACAAAGATGATTGCATATTTGTTATTTAGAATTATTTATTTTATATTATCATTTTCAATTTTTGCTGCTGTTGATTTTTTTAACAAAACTAAGGAACAACTGTAAATATAAACTGATTGAAGTTTTGTGTAGTTCGATCTATATAAACGTTTGTTTAATTAAAGAAAATGAATCAAGAACAAGAGTAAAACTACTCTTCTTAATGAACTAGCTATTGTTATTGACATACGTAATAACGTAATGTTAGCAGGCCCGTAGAACGCGGGTCCTGAGTATAGTTTTCCGCTTTAGTAAATTTTCATTTAGATGCGATAGTTGCCCCCAACACACACTTTTTGTTGCTGTATGGTCGAGCGCTTGCAAATTGCAGAATTTGGACATATTAGGTTTTTTTCTGCTTGTCAGACTTTTTGAGAGGTTGCCCCCTCCACTTTTGAAACTGTTGCTACGGGCCTGGTACATATCCTTAGTAATCTGACAGTGGGGGCAGGTACTTTTGTGAACCCCTTCTCTCGTTTCTCTATCAAACAACCTTCAGGATAGATAGAATATAAAAAAAATCATTGAAATTGGATAGACAAAATGAAAAAAAAAAAATGCCTACTCTTAATTAATTTTTTTCTGTAAGGAAGTATACATCAGTGGATTCTTTTTCCTGAATAATATACAAATATTAAAAACGAATAATAATGACCATGTGTATCCCGTTACCAAGTCTATTGAGAAAAAGGTGGAGAACTGCATTCTACCACTCAAAAGAAAGCAGTGGGATAAATGATAAAAAAAAAAGAAGAGTAAAATAAGTGTTATCAAAACAATTTATCTTGACAAAGCAGATTGAGCGGACTCCTTACAATACGTTGTTAAAATTACCCCGTGTCAAGAGAATAAAAGACGAATCGTGTTAGACAATAGGAGGATATGATGCAGGGTGAGAGGTTAGCGGGTCTAGGGTTATTGTTTACTGTTATATGCCATCTGACCCTTGGGTGTCGGACAACCATAGTAGGAAGGATAAAGTAATGAATGGATAGAGTCAGATTGCGCAGCTCATCCGAGATACTGAGCAACTGACAAGTGACAATCTTCTGTCAGATAAGAAAGGGGGAAAGATAAATGGACCCAAAAATGTTGTTTTCTGGAAAAAATGAGAAAAAATAAATTCGACTACATTTGTAGCTGAAGGTTGTGATATATTCTGTTCAATTGTTATGATGTAGTCCTTCATAATTCTCAAATAATATAGTCATATGGTTTAAAAAAACACCAAAAGGTAAATAAAAATGCATAATGTGTCACTTTGAAAAGGAAGGGAATTTATTTGTATAAAAACCAAACTAACAAACAATATGAGCATTTTACTGCCGTATGAATAATTCGTTTATGATCAGAATCTTTTTCTAAAGCTTACGACATTCAACAGTTTCTTTTTTTTTTTTTTTTGGTTAAACAAAGGCTGCATCGAATTTCTGTGGAAGCAGAACGTTATTGGACTATTCTACATTACACCTTATTGGACGATTTAGTGTATCAGACGATACATTACACTTCACAGAGTAAAAAGATATACATGTGTATAATACATCTTACTTACTGTGTAAGTCAGAAGTTCTAAACAGAGCTAAGATATATAATACATCTTAGTTACTGTATAAGTCAGAAGTTCTACACAGAGCTAAGATATATAATACATCTTAGTTACTGTATAAGTCAGAAGTTGTAAACAGAGCTAAGATATATAATACATCTTAGTTACTGTATAAGTCAGAAGTTCTACACAGAGCTAAGATATATAATACATCTTAGTTACTGTATAAGTCAGAAGTTCTACACAGAGCTAAGATATATAATACATCTTAGTTACTGTATAAGTCAGAAGTTCTACACAGAGCTAAGATATATAATACATCTTAGTTACTGTATAAGTCAGAAGTTCTACACAGAGCTAAGATATATAATACATCTTAGTTACTGTATAAGTCAGAAGTTCTACACAGAGCTAAGATATATAATACATTTTAGTTACTGTATAAGTCAGAAGTTCTACACAGAGCTAAGATAAATAATACATCTTAGTTACTGTATAAGTCAGAAGTTCTACACAGAGCTAAGATAAATAATACATCTTAGTTACTGTATAAATCAGAAGTTCTACACAGAGCTAAGATATATAATACATCTTAGTTACTGTGTAAGTCAGAAGTTCTACACAGAGCTAAGATAAATAATACATCTTAGTTACTGTATAAGTCAGAAGTTCTATACAGAGCTAAGATAAATAATACATCTTAGTTACTGTATAAGTCAGAAGTTCTACACAGAGCTAAGATATATAATACATCTTAGTTACTGTATAAGTCAGAAGTTGTAAACAGAGCTAAGATATATAATACATCTTAGTTACTGTATAAGTCAGAAGTTCTACACAGAGCTAAGATAAATAATACATCTTAGTTACTGTATAAGTCAGAAGTTCTACACAGAGCTAAGATATATAATACATCTTAGTTACTGTATAAGCCAGAAGTTGTAAACAGAGCTAAGATATATAATACATCTTAGATACTGTATAAGTCAGAAGTTCTACACAGAGCTAAGATATATATAATACATCTTAGTTACTGTATAAGTCAGAAGTTCTACACAGAGCTAAGATATATAATACATCTTAGTTACTGTATAAGTCAGAAGTTCTACACAGAGCTAAGATATATAATACATCTTAGTTACTGTATAAGTCAGAAGTTCTACACAGAGCTAAGATATATAATACATCTTAGATACTGTATAAGTCAGAAGTTCTACACAGAGCTAAGATATATAATACATTTTAGTTACTGTATAAGTCAGAAGTTCTACACAGAGCTAAGATATATAATACATCTTAGTTACTGTATAAGTCAGAAGTTGTAAACAGAGCTAAGATATATAATACATCTTAGTTACTGTATAAATCAGAAGTTCTACACAGAGCTAAGATATATAATACATCTTAGTTACTGTATAAGTCAGAAGTTCTACACAGAGCTAAGATATATAATACATCTTAGTTACTGTATAAGTCAGAAGTTGTAAACAGAGCTAAGATATATAATACATCTTAGTTACTGTATAAATCAGAAGTTCTACACAGAGCTAAGATATATAATACATCTTAGTTACTGTATAAGTCAGAAGTTGTAAACAGAGCTAAGATATATAATACATCTTAGTTACTGTATAAGTCAGAAGTTCTACACAGAGCTAAGATATATAATACATCTTAGTTACTGTGTAAGTCAGAAGTTCTACACAGAGCTAAGATATATAATACATCTTAGTTACTGTATAAGTCAGAAGTTCTACACAGAGCTAAGATAAATGATACATCTTAGATACTGTATAAGTCAGAAGTTCTACACAGAGCTAAGATATATAATACATTTTAGTTACTGTATAAATCAGAAGTTCTACACAGAGCTAAGATATATAATACATCTTAGTTGCTGTGTAAGTCAGAAGTTCTACACAGAGCTAAGATAAATAATACATCTTAGTTACTGTGTAAGTCAGAAGTTCTATACAGAGCTCAAACCAAGTCTCGTACTATTATTGTTCCCCTAATCATTTGTCATTGTTTTTCTTTAATATAAATAAAATTTCATGTTAAAAGTTGTGTCATATTTTCACATACGAACATCCCTTTCTTATATAAAGGATTTTAAAATCCTTAGTTTTCAACTTTCAAAGAATAGCATTCAATAAATCACAAAGTAAAGTCATCCACGCCACAGAGGCTTTTCATATACATGTATTTTTTGGTGACTTTTTCAGTTTTACGTATATCAAAGCTGCTTACCATATTTACCATATAATATTCCATTATATCATTATTAAAATACTTCATGGTAAAATACTTGTAAATATCAAAAGTATTAAAAAAAATATTTTATTGCCAGTATACTTCTATATGAGAAAGCTATTCAAGTTTGTAATCACTTGAATTAATTAAGTAATAAAATTCTGATTCCATGGGCTTGTTATTTAAATAATTGTTTAAATACCAAAATACTGTTAGATTCTTTTCGAATTTTCAATTGGGGTGGAGTATTTTCACAAATTTGAATTCACTAAAATCCTGTTCTTTTTTTATGTATTGTTGTCAAATACACAGGTAGGGCACTGTTACCTTTAAGAAACACAGGTGTACCTTAACTCGTCACAGGTGGTTGAGTCGGACACGTTTCGATGATCACCATCCCGTGGCGATTACTGATGTACAGTTATGTGGGTACCCGTCCATCACCTGAGGAGGCGGACCGAGGGTAGACACTATATAAAACTTGACAGGTACCCTCTCACTTTCCATATATCATCTTTAAAGTTTATATTGCATATTGTCTCAAAACTTGATATATTTTCACAAGAAATTTACTAATTTTTGTGCTTTTTGTGGAATTTTTAACTTGGCCATGCCAAAATCATTTCTAGTGCGTGGTCAGCATAGACCAAAGACTACCCAGGATGTCCACGAAGCACAGCTGGATCAGAAGATTCCGTCCGGCCAGAGACTCTTGGACAGCGAAGGTAGGAAAGTTTCTTAAGACAACACAGAATCACTTCAACTATTTATACTTTATATGAAATGTACAGATCTTTTGACGTAATCTTTATGGGTTTTTTTTATTTTCTTTAAATTTATTTATTATTGATTTATTTTGTTATTTCAAACTTAGGAAAGTTGCTCGTGTTTTATTTTATAACATACAATATCCGGTCCTTATCTCCTTAAAAATTTCCCTCAAGTGATGCGTTTTAATTATTCTTACTGTGTCTAGTTCAAAAACATCAGGGGGTACGAAAAAAGTTTGAACAAACAAAAAAGACACGTTGGATAAAATTTCAAGATGCCCTGGAAGTTAATCTCATAGGATAGTAATGAAAGCCCTTTTTGTATATTACAAAGAAACACTTTTTCTCACTGTTACCCGTTCAAACCACGAGACATCTCCCCTGTATAAACAGCGTGTCACAATTTCTGTTTCAATGGGATGAGGTGATAGAGAAATCAGAGTAAATAGCCCCGGGCCCTGGGCCGTTATATCCGTGTAGTGTATTGGACAGGAATTTAAATTACAAGTATTGAGCAAACTATGCAGATTATTTTTCTTTAGAATAGTGGGAGGGTTGTGAAGAAAGATCATGAAATTTATCAATTTGTTCTGAATGAACGCACAAATGTTACCGCATTAAATATTTTGATAAGCAAAATATGGCTTTATTAAATATAAGCTTATATATTTTCAAGATAGGATACTTACCTTCGTCTATTAAAATTCTTCGAATTTAGCCTGGTTATTTCAATCTGTAAAGTGCACTTTTCAATCTTATTTTTGTCATGTTTTCAAACTTAAAGTAGTATACATTTCAGGTGACTCTTTATCATTGATGTTTTGGTTCTCGTGACAATCGTACTTTTTTCTCTTTGCAGATTATTCTTACTTGAAGGATACTGAGAAAGTAGACGGTACTAAAAATTTAGAAAAAAGAGAATATGACGAGGCCAAAAACAAAGACAGGGATATTCGAAAAACGCCGTTATTTCTTCCTCTTCCATTTGAACATAAAATGTACAATTTAATGTTACATTCTCCAGGAAGTGAAAAGTTTGGATTTAATAACATCTTATCACCTCTACCCTATCATTCCTTCCGCTACCAGGAACTATGTTCACCAACGTCTCCTGCCGCTCCTCCGCTCATTCCGAGCCCGACTCATATAATTAACTCAGGCTTTCCAAATCGTGCAAGCTCTAATTCAGCAAATTCACCGACGGAACCTCAACGTAGAGATCAATTAGACGGCGTTAATAACTTTCTAAATCCCACCGTTTCAATGCTCAAGGTTAGAAAATTGCTCTTAAATGATATTCTTAATTGCTTGAAAAAATATACTTCATTAAAACTACTTTTCCGATTTCAAAACCATTTTGAATTATATATAAGCATTTTAATCATATAAGATCAATCGAATGTGTGTTTCTGATTGATATTTCAGCATTCAGTGGTGCATGGGGTAGAACTTATAAATGGTGGCTTTGGAATGAAAAACCCTATCATAGCTCATGCTCAAGACCAGAAAATACCTAATTTTCATGATAAAACCTGTAAGTCAATCAAATGTTATTTATATTGAATACTTTCAAGGTTAAATTTAGTTTTTTGATAGATCATCTGGTGAACCAGCATATCTTTTCCCCTTGTTTGACTTAGTTATTCTCACTGTTACAGCTATTGACGGTCAGAATTTCACTTGTAATATCTGTAACAAGTCCTTCCCATTGCAAAGGTTGCTCAATCGTCATCTGAAATGCCACAGTGAAATCAAAAGATATCTCTGTACCATATGTGGAAAAGGATTTAACGACACATTCGATCTCAAACGTCATACAAGAACACATACAGGTAAGCTTTCTTAAAGGTTTCATGTAATCAAAATACGTGCATCCGTATCAAAAATCCGTATTGTTATATCCTGATACATATAATCTGTATCATGTATTTGAAATCAAAAACTATCTATCTTACCTGTCTTATCTCTGTTTTCTGACCAGGAGTGCGTCCATACAAGTGCAGTACTTGTGGTAAGGCGTTTACTCAGCGCTGTTCCTTAGAGTCACATGGGCGTAAGGTTCATGGATTTGAGTTTTCTTATGCTTACAAAGAACGCCGGAACAAGCTTTACGTATGTGAGGACTGTGGACACACGACTTCAGACCCAGGACAACACTTCGTGCACTTAAAACACTTTCACCCGCAGAACCCCGTTCTTCTGAAGTTCTACGATAAAAGACAGTTCAAATTTTCTGAAATGGGCAATAGTTCCGAAGAAATCATAGACCTTTCAGTTAACAAAAGGTGATGTCTGCATTGTATAATGAAGTGTTAGCAAATGCATAATATACCAAAAACAGATATTTGGTTAATATAAAGAATATTTTGTTTTGTTTTTTACATGATTATATTTTTACATATTTTGTACATACAAGTGCTATGGGGGTTATACATGAATATACATGTAATACTATTTTTGGACATGGTGCAATATTAGAGGCGGGCCACTCACATGCAATATACATTATCACCTGTCAGTATCATCTGTGATTATATTTATGCATTTACTACCTAACCATATATTTTGAATAAAAAGTATTTGATGAAATACAATGAAATAATATGTAGATTTTTTTTCCCTTGTGATATGTAATAATAAATCATAAAGAGCTCTTTTTCTCTTTGAATTTCTAAGGTTTTTCTTCATGAATATAAATTATATAATTTGTTTGAAAAGAATCGCATGTCGTCTATCCTTTTTTTACGAAAAAATATGTTAACAGCAGTAGATATAGTTAAAAAAAACTTGCAAATATACCTTGATTTTTTTAATTAAGGTTGATAGTCATTCATACCGTGTTTCTTATGATAAATATTTATAATAACACGGGTACATTGCTAAGGAGTTAAATCATACTAAAAAGTTCAGGATATGTTATAAATGTATCCTGCATATTTAAAATAACTGAGAAATATGACTACACCTCGTAATTTAATGTTTACTGCGTGGGGATTGTTTTGTTTGATTGCTCGAAAGCGTAACCATAAATTATCTCTTTTTTAAAATCCTATAAAATACAGGTAGAATTTTTAGTCATAAAATGCAGCTAAATTGCAATGAAAGTTTACGTTTTTTTCTTTAATTGATTATAATTGATTGAGTCATATTGCGATTTTTGAACTCATTATCTTTAATGTTTGTTGTCTGTTCCCAAGATAAGATCGGAGGACCTGCTTTATCATTGCTCTCACAATAGACCAATACTTGATGTGCACAAAGAATCACCTCTTTTTTCCCGTTGATTGTTAAATTCCGTTTTACTGCATTTTAATTTCACTATTAAAATCGATCAATGATTATCATTTCCTCACCCAAGTATTAATTGCTGTGAAGGAGAAACTTCAGACGTATTGTGCTACAACATATTCAAGAAGTGGTGTAAATCAGATGCAGATTCCAAAAACTCCAAAGAACTTAATTTAAAATTTAAAGATTTGAATTTTAAGAGTTTAAAAACTCAAAACTTTTCCAATATCAATAGCATCAAACCATAAGACTTCTCTACATCTTATACAACCATCCTCATGAAAAACTAAAGCGCAGGCTTTTTGATATCATAGACAACAGCTTCCTCAATAAAAATGGGACTCTTAAATTTTCAAATCTTGTGATTGCTCATCTATAAAATTACTTTATTAAAAATCATTCCGATTCTACATGAGAAAAAGAAAACTCTTGCTGTGGCCTTCAACTCGACATTTAGGTATATCGATAACGTTTTATCAATTAACAATAGTTACTTTCATTCATATGCCGACTCGAACTCGAAACAAAAGACACTACATAGTCTGCCACATCTGTTTCATATTTGGAAGTTTACTGACCACAGACGATAATGGCCAATAACTAAGTTGTATTACAAACAGAATGATTTCAGCTTTTCCATCTTCAACTTCCCTCATTTATTCCAACATCTCCTGCATATATGGTGTTAAACTCTCCCAGCTGATTCGATATGCCAACTCATCCTCTGAATATGATCAATTTTTAAATCGAGGCAAGCTACTGACAAATAACTTGATGTTACAAGGATTTCAACAAGCCTTTGTACGCAAATTCTCCGTTCGTTGTAAATACAAATTAGTGCTGGATTGCATTTTGTCTGACATGTTTCATACTATTTGTAAGGTCATTACTTTTATTCTAAATTTTATTACGGAGTACTCCGTCTACATGATCAATATATAGGGCTCAAGGCGAGTGTGACCCGTCGACAGGGAATGCTTACTCCTCCTAGGCACCTGATCCCACCTCTGGTGTTTCCTACATTAAAAGTGTAACAAAAAGATTTTTTGTTGTTTTCAGTTACATATAAGTAATGTAATTTAGGTGATTGTTTTATGCCCCAGAAATTCGAAGACCAGGGGAATATATTTTTGCCCTGTGCCCCTAGGTCAGTCTTTTTGTCTTCGAAAACCTTAATACTAGTAATTGGCTTTATCTTTTGAACCGTGTAAAATATTCAAATTTGGCACGCAAGTTCAACAATTAATGTTCCTTCAAATGTATTTAGATTATTATGTGTTCGTCTGTTTGTCCGTGATTTATGAATAAATAACTATATGATTGTGATTGGCATTTCTTCGGCTTACTTAAGATCATTTCAATGTATCACCAAAGGGCAAGCTACGGAAGCTTATTTACACCAGAGGGCGCACTTCACAAGCTCCAATCGTCTAAATTACAGGAATCTTGTAAAATGGGTTAGTGGTAAAGTTTTACTTTAAATTTCATTTCTAAGATGAACATAAAGATACTTTTCTTATATGAACCTTATACCTTCCTTCATTTTGAAAATAAACACTATAATAATATATAATTTCTAAAGATAATAGAGCTGCGTCCAAGATCGTAGCGGCTGTCACCTAGCAGCTAGTTTGTATATTTTGGATAAAAATATCTCAGCAATAACCATTTTTTTAAACAAAGTGAGCCTAACTCAAGCAGAAATATATTTTCATATGTACATTTAATTTGCTAAAATGGAGAAAACAACCCCACTATTGTGAGTCTCTAGTATGATGCAAAGTAGTAATTAGGAAGTCATCTGGGATTTGGCATCAGATCTTTATGCTAGGCTAGCATATCGTTCAAGATCGTAGCTCTACATCGCTTTGTAGCCTCCGCAATTTTTAACGCAGCCAGGTTAAAGTGAAGCATCTGGTGAGAGATTGAGAACATTAATTTGTAAATGTTTACATCTTTATGCATTGTATACGGCATCTAATAGTAAACAACATAGTTGTTTATTCTTTATGCTTCTAGTTGTGTGTTCATAGCTAACATTGGTATTAACAGTACAAAAGCACCGGATAATCATTAAAGTCCAGAGAAAAAAAGCGATGATTTAAAGCCACAGCAAGTGTGCGTCAAAATCGTGCAACTGAATTCTACTTCACATTAATTATTATTGTGAAAATTGATTAACTATCTAGCTAATTACAATTACAGAACTGAATTAGATATGCAAGAAGGTAACAAGGAGATGGATTTGACTAATGATATTAAATATCAAAATCAAGTAGCAAAAATAAATCAAAACTCAGTAAAAGATCCAGTTTACATGCAATAAAACAGGTATGGTTAGAACATTAAACATTTTCACCAAATATTCCTCCTGCAGTTGTAAAATGATAAATGTAACAATTTGACTTGCTCAGTTTCCATGATACTCGGCGCTTATGGCCTTTGAGCAGTTGAGATTTCTTTTATGTGCCACAGTGACACCCGGGCTGACACTTGTAATAACTTTTCAGAGTTCATATATGATTTGGGACAAATGTAAAGAAGGTTTTTCAAAGGCTGTCATACTAAATTGTAACTATTATTTTCAGGAACTATTGTTTATATACGAATTGGTCATGTTTAGGGCATTTTAGTAATTTAATAAGTTTACGGACTAAAAAAGAAACGGTTACGAACTAAAAGTTGTCAAATGGGATTGTTCTCTTTTTGTATGAAGAATGTGAAAAAAGAAATATAAATTTGTATCAACTGTCCCTCCACTTGAAAATAATCCTGGCACAAAGGGTATGTTTGTTGTTTTTCTTCGCTTACCTACAGTTAAAGGACACTTCATTTTAAGTGCATAGTTATTTCCATTTTGTACATTAGGTTCCCACGGTTCCTACAATAAAGCGTCAACTTTCTTCAATCACCCCGTTACCATAACGGCTATTACATGTTAGGGGGTATAGGATATCTTTCTCGCTTCTCATGCACATATACTGTCTTCTATAAGAGCGTCTTCAGGACGAGTTTTTTGAATTTCAATAGAGGTGAGGAGACACTAAGTTTGTTTTCTTACTTATCTCGTACTTAAATAACGTTCCCGGTTCGAGTTTCATCGTTAGTCTTTCAGAGGCAGCTTCCTCCTTTGTTTCTTTGAACGTGTTGTATTGTTATAAATATGTATATAATATGATGCCAGTGACTCTCCTCTAATTAAATGTCGTGGGAAAGGCTTTTTTGTTTTGTTATTATAATAAAACGGAACTGATTATAACACAGCGACAAAAAATGGTGATATTTGTCATTGCATGCCTTTGTAATAACTAATAATACCCGGTATAAGTAACTGTTTCCCACCCTTCTGCGACATATGACTGTATTGTGGAAGTCTGTGATAATGTTATACAAAAAAGCTAAAGTTCCTTAAGGACACGATTATAAAGAATTTTACTGTGAATTTCATATATTTTTATAAACTTAATTTTTTTAGGTAGATGAAATTCTTTTGAGTCTGTAACAACACTTTTTTCTTTTGTAAATGCATAATTACAACAACAAAAATTGTAATACGAATATAAGCAAATAAAAGCAAAAAGGTCATCATTTTTTTTGTGATTTACCATTTAAAGGCTTTATTCCAACAAAAGTTTGTCATCTTCAGCGAGAATGTTAATTAATCAGGCACGTCGAACGGCAGTGGATTTAAGTGGAAAGCTTAACCCCTCAACATGTGAACGACACGAAATTTGCATTTAGAAAGTTATTTAATGAGAAAATTACAGTAATAAAGTTCACCAGACCCATGTGGTCTTCAAATTTAAATCTGGTAAAATTACATTAAATTTCTTAAATGTTTCAGCGCGGTGAAGACCCCAGTTACCCAACGGTTCTTTTATTATCACAGCCAACAGACCAAGTAATCCATTCTAGTCCGATAGTTGCGCCACTGCAAGCATAACAGTTTGAAGTTGTGAAGAAAATTAAAGTTTTGATAATTGTATCCATCTTGTCGGCGTGGGATCTTCCAGTACCCGCCCCTTATTGTCCACGTTGTATTGTGTAACTGTTTTAAAGATAAACAGAGAGAACAAGGCCGTTCTAAAGCCCTGTAGCAGGCTATTGTAATAAAGACATTTATAGTCGTATTGAGACTTGTCAAATAGAATACACCTGACATGTATCTGAACATAATCAGTGCAGTAAATATTTTACAAAGACCTTAAGGTACAGAAAAAAGAAATACAAAAATAAGAAAAAGTGTAATCGGCGAAATCAGTCACCATGACGGCCAAAATCAACGGTTTTAAATGGTGTTGACAGAGTACGTGTGATATCAGATTTACCCGTTCTTTTTCATTTTAAAAATAAAATATAT